TTATTGATTTACAGAAAAACATGCAAGAAACGGTGAGAAAAATCACCGAAGTAAACATAAAAAGAACCGTGGAAATCATGGAGAAAAATGGAAGAAAAGAAATGGATGATGTAAAAAGAAGTTTAGTCAAACAAGTAAAAGAAATAGAAGGTCTTAAAAAGGATGTGAAGAAAGAAATCTACGAAGTAAGAGAAGAAGCAGAAAGAGAAATAAGTAAATCAAAAAAGGAAATAGTAGAAGAAATAAAGAAACTCAAAGAACAATGGAGAATGACTGGAAGAGAAGGTAATATGGAAATAGAAGAATTGGAAGAAATTTATAAAAGAATGGAGAAATTTGAACAAGAAATGGAAAGAATCAAAATGCAAGAAAATGAAAATACTAGAAATAGAAGTGAAAGCCTTGTAGAAAACAATGACAGAAGAGAAAGAAGAATAGAAGAAGATTTAGAAGAAATGAGAGAGCAAATGGATAGAATGAGAAGTCAAATGGGAAACAGAGCAACAACTATTTACAACAATTACCAGAGTGTCACAGATGAGAACACAAGATTCGATGGAAATGTAAAAAAGATACACCCTAGAGTATTCCTACGAATCTTATCAAATAGAATTAAGAATATTGAAAATTTTGAGGATACCAGAGAAATAATAAGAAAAGATCTAACAGGACAAGCCTTACTATGGTACACAAGTAAGGAATTGGATTTCAAAAACTTCAAAAGCTTTGAAATTGCTTTTCTTGACATGTATTGGGGAGAAATAATTCAAGGAGAGATAAGAGAACGTCTCTATTTTGGTCACTATGACGAAAAAAGAGGAAGTTCTATGTATTCATACACATTAATGTTATATTCACAGGCTCAACATCTTGAACCTGTTATAAAAGAAGAAGAGATCATAATGTTTTTATCGAGGCATTTCAAACCTCAAATAGCTGAAACAATTGCTGTTCAAAACATAAAAAGCTTTGAACAATTAAGCAAATATCTTATGAGAATAGAGAGAAATCTGACTAGTGGACGTCAGAGAAATTTTAGAAACTATTCAATTAATAACGAAGGAAATAATATGAACTCAGACACAAATTTTAATAGATACACTAATAATAGAAATTATTACAGACCTAATTACGTAAATAATAGTAATTCAAACCAAAATAGAAGTTACAACATGGGTATGGGAAATCATCCTAATAATAATAATAACAATAATTTGAATTTTAACCAAAATAATAATAACGATAATTATAACTATAATAATAACCAAAATCAACAAACAAATAATTATAATAGAAGGTTTATATCAAATTATAATAATAATAATGTAGGCAATGCAAGAATGCAATATAACAATAATAATAGATATCAAAATAATAATAATTATAATAATCCTAATAATAATCGATACCAAAGTAGAAATTTAAATACAAATGTTGGTCAAAATGTACAAAATAATACACGATACAATAACACAGATAACAATCGTAGAGTCAATTTTCACATGAGATCTAACAGTTGTGATAGAATGGGTTCTTCAAACACACAGGTCTCTACACAGGATATGCGAACAAACGAAAGTCCTGACACTGCTCGTGTTGACGATAGTCTTAGGTCTAGTGTCAGCAGTACTGGCACGCAGAATTTTCATTAATGGATGGAGTAAAACGCAATCTGTATAATTACGTCCATCCACGTGAATTTCTCAAAATTCAGGATTGCCTAGAACAAGAACAAAAAAATAGTTTAGTTGTGATAAAAGCAAGTGTAAATAATGTGAGTGTGCAAGTTTTAATTGACACGGGATCAGAAACGTCATTAGTGAGCGAAAGCGTTGTAAATAAATTGAATTTAAATAATAAAGTTACAAAAGTTCCTAAAATTAATTTAATTGGTATAAATAAAAAGAAATTTAGTGAAGTGAACAAATCCATAATTATTAAGTTATATAGTAAAAGCAACAACTTTGAAGTGCATCTACTAGTGGTGAAAGATATGGAGTATGATATTTTATTGGGAACAGATGAATTGCAGAAAAATAATGCAGACATCAACTATGAGAACAAGACTGTAAATTTGAATGGGATAGTGATTGAATTTGAAGAAAGTGATACGAAATTGGAAGAAGAAAGTACAAGTATTATTATGAATAAAGAAAATAGCGAAAAAGAAACATTGGTAAAGAAAATGTATGGTATTTTTAATGAAGATAAGATGGTATATGAAAAAGGAGAAATGATAAATGATAGTGAGGATAATTTGAATGGTTATTATGAAGTTGGAAATGAAGCAAATAATATAATAAATATTGAAAATTGGAAAGAGATGAAATTAGATTGTGGAAAAGAAAGGAAGAAAAAAATGATGGAATTGTTGGAGAAATATGAAGAATTATTTAATAAGAAATCAAGAGTTGCCAAGAATTTTGTACATAGTTTGAAAGTAAGAAATATGGAAACATTTAAAGGAAAAAGCTATCCAATCCCATACAAATATAAAGATGAAATGCAAGAAGCTACAAGAAAATTAATAGAAGATAAGATTATAGAATACAGTACTACTCCATATATAAACCCAATTGTGATTGTAAAAAAGAAAGATGGAGACATTAGGATTTGCCTAGATGCAAGGGAATTAAATAAGAGATGTATACCTGAGTATGAAGCTCCTCTGACTATAGAGGCTATTTTAGGAAGAATATCACACGCAAAAATTTTCACGAAACTGGATTTAAGGCACAGTTTTTGGTTGATACCTCTAGACGAAGATAGCAGGGATTATACAGGCTTTATGATAGATGGAGTTGTGTACAGATTCAGAGTGGTACCTTTTGGAACTCAATCTGCGACTTCAGCTTTACTAAAGGCTCTACATAAAGTTCTAAATAAGTTCGAAAAATATACATTACATTACATTGACGATATACTAATATTTTCTGAAAACGAAGAAGATCATTGGAAACACATAGAAACTATTTTACATGTACTCGATGAAGCAGGCTTAAAACTAAATATTAATAAATGCGAATTTTTCAAAGACGAAGTGATCTATCTTGGTTACAAAATAGATGCACAAGGTGTGAGTATGGATTCCAATAGAATCAAAGTTATTAAGGATTATAAGCGACCAACAAATCTAAAAACACTTAGAGGTTTCCTAGGAATTTTACACTATTTTAAACGCATGGTACCTGATTTGACAGAAAAAGAAATTCCTTTAATAGAATTGCTAAGGAAAAATGTCAAATGGCAATGGACTAAAGAAAGAGAAAAAGCATTCCAACAAATCAAGGAAGAGTTTACAGAAAACGTGAAAATCTATCATCCAGACTACTCGAAAACTTTTATATTACGGACAGATGCTTCCCAACAAAGATTCGCTGGCGTACTGTTACAAAATCAAGAAATAGGTGAAGTACCTATATCATTTGTGTCTCGTATAACGAAAAAAGCTGAGAAAAACTATAGCGTCAGTGAACTGGAGCTAGCAAGTATCATTTTCTGCATCAACAAACTTAGATTTTTCTTATTAGGGAATTCATTCTTAATAGAGACTGACAATCAGGCTTTGACAACAATACTCAAAAATAAATATGGTAATCAAAGGATTCATAGATGGGCACTACTCCTACAGGAATATGCTTTTGAAATAAAATACGTCCCTGGAATAAAAAATAATATAGCAGATGCAATCACACGCATGGACGGGGAAGAATCTAAAGAAAAGAGAAATAAGTTCATAGGAGTAAATATCATGAAAGCAGACATTGGCACTTTTTCCTTGGAAAAGATAAAGTCAGATCAAACAAAATTAACACCTAAAGAAAAAGTAAGGACAATGACTAAGGAAGGTATAATCTACAAACTAAATAATGGTAAAGAACTCTATGTCATTTCTGAAGAGCTAATAAGAGAAATTACATTAAAATTACATGCCATATATAACCACATAGGAGTTCAAAAACTATTTGATATTTTTAGGGAAAACTACATAGGAAAAAAAGATCTATCAATAATGAAAGATATTATATCTAAATGTAGACTATGTCAGTTGGGAAAAGATAGAAATTATCACAATGAGAGTCTACCAAAGGCTTTAATCACAGAAAGACCATTACAAATGATATCAGTGGATTTTATATCAAATTTAGTGCCAAGCAAACAGAATAATCAACACATATTTGTTATCACAGATGTATTCTCAAAATATGTGAAAATGTATCCTTGTCCTAAAACAAATAAAAAGATGGTAAAAAAATGTCTAACCAAATATTTCATAGAAATAGGAACTCCAGAAACGTGTGTGATGGACAACGCAACCTATTTTAATAACGAAAATCTAAAAGCCTGGCTAGCAAAGTCGAACATCAAGGCAAACTTTATAAGTATACGACATCCATGTGCAAATCTAACAGAAAGGTACATTCGTGAAATAGTCAAGTGTTTAAGAATACTAGTACATGAACAACATGAATTATGGGAAGAAAATTTACCTAAAGTAGAATTCTGTATGAACAATATACCACATGAATTGTAATATATATATATATATATATATATATATATATATATATATATATTACAATTCATGAACCGACACCACTGAGAGGAAGAGAATCTGCTCTATATAAAATAAAGTGATAAAATATATAAATAAAAAAAGCTAGCCGAGGTAAGTTTAGATTATTGTGTATTTTTATAAATTGTGAGGTTAAAAAGAGAACGTAACAAATGGCGCCCAACGTCGGGCTGTCAAATTGACAGGTTGTTACTGTCAGATTGACAGTTGTAGAAACATTTCTAATTATCAAATTTATTAATTTTTTTTAATTTGGTAGATTATTGGAATTATTTGGATAGATAATTAATTTTTATATATTTTTAAAAGACAATATTATTAAAATAGAAGCATTGGCGTACAATAAGAGGTAACATATTTAATTGTATTGAATTTATATACATTAAATTTAAAATTTTTATAAATAAATAAATAAAATTTTGACATGGACCTAAGAGGTGGAAAAAGAATCAATGGAAAAGATGAAGACGATGAAGAAATTAGAAAAATAGGACAAGATGATATGGAAGAAATGGAAATGCAGGATTTAGAAAAAACAGTAATCGAAAAAAGTAATAGTGAAGAAAAAGTAAAGAAAGAAGATGAAATAATGGGCATGTTTGCTATAATGATAAAAAAAATGGACGAAAATAGGGAAGAAATGAATAAAAAAATGGACGAAAATAGAGAAGGATTGAATGTAAATAGAGAAGAACTTATAAAGAAAATGGAGAGAATGGAGAAAAACATAAAACAGGATATGAAAAGCGAATTAGAGAAAGTAGAAAAGAAATTGGAAATAGCAGTGAAAGAAATTGGAAGAGTCAAAATTACTGATAGAAAATAGGATAGAAGAAACTAGAGAAGAAATAAGAATAGAAATGATTGGAAGAATAATAGAAGTAGAAGATTTACAAGAACAAAAAATTAAAAAAATAATAGAGACAGAACTAAAGGAAGAAATAGAAGAAATAAAAATGATAGAGCAAGATACTAAGGAAAGAATGAGTAATTTGGAAAAAAATTGATAAATACTATTACAGGGATGGATACTACAGTGGGACAAAATATAAAAGATGCCGAAAAAAGAATAAATGAAACACAGAAAAATGATGTGGAAAGAATGAACAAGAGGATAGAAGAGATACAGAAAGAAATGAATCATTTGAAGAATAAGATATCTCAAACAAAATTAAAACTAGCTGATGACAAAGACGAAGAAAAAAAAAGTGAAATCAATAATAAAATAGAAAGCATGGAAAAGTCTTAGATATTTGGAGAAGGAATATAAACAGAATGAAGATAAGGAAGTTCAGGAAATAAATAATGAAAGTAGAATACAAACAAGGATTATCAACCAATTTTTAGGAAATAGAAGGGATCACAAGTTTGAAGGAGGCAGTAAGAAAATTCATCCCAAGGTGTTTATTAAAATTTTAAAGAACAAGATGAAAGATATTAAGGATATAGAGGATATAAAAGAGATGATAAGGGAAAATCTTGATCATCATGCTTTAGTGTGGTTTACAAGTAAGGAAGAGAATTTTGAGAATTTTGATATTTTTGAAAAACAATTTATGGGATATTTTTGGGGGAACAATGCTCAAACAAGAGTAAGAGAGAAACTGTTTTCTGAAAAATACAATGCAAAATAGAAATAATAGCAGGAATGAATATGCTATGAAAATGTATATGTCAGCAAAATTTTTAGATCCACCAATTCCAGAGGAAAAGATCATAATGTTTATATCTAGACATTTTAGGTATGAGATAACAGAAACTATTGCAATGCAAAATATACAAACCATTGAACAATTAAGTAACTATTTACAAAGAGTAGAAAGGGGAAAATGGAGACAAATTACAATAACAGAGACACTACTGAAAGTAGAAATTACAATTTGCACAGCAATAACAATCAATTATACAGATATCAAAGAAAGTATAATACAAACAGGTATGACAATATAGTAAATAATCAAAATAATAGGAGAAATGATTATGACAATAATTTTAATAGAAATAATTCGAATAATAATAATAGATATCGCGGGAATTTAAATTACAATAACTACTATGACAGAAACCACACTGGTCAATACAATGCAATTAACTCCAATAAGAATAATAGATACAGTATGGTTCAAATGAAAGGAATAAATTCATTATAATAGAAGTTTCGAAAAAATGCTCGGAAAGGTCAATTTTGTTTATTTAAAGCGCAATTTTTTAAATAAAATTCAATTTTCCCCCACTTCCCATTTTTGGGCAGTGACGTCATTGACAATTTTTTTAAATAGCAACCCCAATTTTTTTTTTTCTTGATTTTGATAGATCTTGCAATTTCCTACTCGGAAACATAATATTTTAAATATCTGACATATTTTTTTTTGAAAAAAAGTCATTTAAAGATCAGATACATAAATTTTATGTTATTTTGAAACACAATAAATTAATAAAAGATAATTATTTGTAATTAAGTGCTTATTCTAAAAAAAAAAAAATAATAACAATAAAAAGAATTTAATGACAATTTCACAAATTCTTTTTATTATTATTATTTTTATTATTATTTTGTTAGATTAAGCATTTAATTACAAATAATTATCTTTTGTTCATTTATTGTGTTCTCAAAATAAAATAAAATTTATGTGTCTGATCTTTAAATGTCTTCTATTAAAAAAAAATTGTTATGTAAGATATTTCAAATATTATGTTTCCGAGTAGGAAATTGCAAGATCTATCAAAATCAAGAAAAAAAAAATTGAGATTACCATTTAAAAAAATTGTCAATGACGTCACTGCCCAAAAATGGGAAGTGGGGGAAAATTGAATTCTATTTAAAAAATTGCGCTTTGAGTAAACAAAATTGACCTGTCCGAGCATTTTTTCGAAAAACCAGCTGCTTCCATTATAATGAATTTATTCCTTTCATTTGAACCATACTGTATAATAATAATAACAGAAATGGGATATACGAGTATTACAACAACAATAATAACAATAATAGAAATGGAAATTATGGAAATAGACAAAGAGATGGATATGAATCAGAAAGCAGCGAATACAATTCAGAAAGAGAAGATAGAAATAGAGAAGAAAGAAGAGTGAATAATATACAGAGGAATAGACAGGAAGGAAGGATAATATCGATGGAACCCGAAATTGTGACTGAAGAAGTAACCGAACAGAATTTTCGGTCGAGCACTTGCTAAATGTGAAAAATGAAATTTGTATATATGAACATCCAAGGGAGTACATTAAATTTGGGGAAGACCTAGAATTTGATAAATTAGTGGGTTTGATTTATTTCAATGGAAAAATTAATGATAAGGTAATTAAAATATTAGTGGATACTGGATCAGAGGCATCTATAATTAAAGCAAATTTGATTGAACAGAATGAAAGGGATTTTGAAATAATTAAAATACCGAAAACAACATTAATAGGTAAAAAACTGTGTGAGGTTACAAGATCTCTAATACAAAAGGTTGAATTGAGTGATGGGAAAAATAATGAATTACAATTGCTAGTAGTAAATAATTTAGAAACGGATATGGTCATAGGAGTAGATGAATTAGGAAAATATAAAGCGAGGATTGATTTTGAGAAGATGGAGATAGAAATAGATGGAAGAAGGATTGCATTTGAAAAGAAGAGTATAGAAAAGGTCGATATAGAAGAGGATGTAATAAAGTTGGGAAATATAGAAAGAAGTGATATTAAAAATGAAGAATTGGAATTTGTGTGCTGATTATGAAGTATGAAGGTTTGATAAAAAAAGAAATGAGAATGGCTAATGACTATATTCATAAAATAGAAGTTAGAGGCATTGAGAATTTTAAAACAAAAATATATCCCATACCTTATAAGTATAGAAAACAAGTAGGAGAAGAAATTGAAAAAATGATAAAGGATGGTATTATAGAGAAATGTAATAGTAGGTATGTGAATCCTATTGTTGTTGTAAAAAAAGGAAATGGAGAACTTATATAATGTTTGGATGCCAGAAATATAAATAAATATACAGTACCACAATATGAGGCGCCTATGAATGTTGAAGCAATTTTTGGACGAATGCAAAATTATTTTCTAAAATCGATTTAAAACACAGTTTTTGGCTTATACCTTTGGATAGAAATAGTAGAAACTATACTGGTTTCTCAATTGATGGAGTAATATACAGATTTTGTGTAGTGCCATTTGGTATTCAGAGTGCATGTTCAGCGGTAGTGAGAGCACTGCATAATATATTAGACAAATATGAAGATTTCACGTTACATTATGTAGATGACATATTAATTTTTTCGGATAATGAAGAGGAACATTTAAAACATATAGGAATTGTATTGAGGGAATTAGATACGGCAGGTCTCAAAATAAATATTAAGAAATGTCAGTTTTATCAACGAGAAATATGTTATTTAGGATATAAGATAGATAGTAGTGGAATGATGATGGAAGAAGAAAGAGTTCAAACTATAATGAAATATATATAAGAGACCAACAAATTTAAAGACTTTGCGGGGATTTCTAGGAATTATGAATTATTTTAAAAGATTGATACCAGATTTAAGCAGAAGACAAATACCTTTAATTGAGTTATTGAAGAAAGAAGTTAAATGGAAATGGACGGAGGAAAGAGAAAGGTGTTTTATAGAATTGAAAGAAGAATTTATGAAAAATTTAAAAGTATATTTTCCTAATTATAAGTTGCCTTTTATTATACGTACTGATGCATCTAAAGAGAGATTTGCAGGTGTTTTATTGCAGGTACAGAATGAAATAGAAGTACCAATATGTTTTGTTTCAAGGGTAACTAAAAATTATGAGAAAAATTATGGGGTATCTGAATTAGAATTAGCTAGTATTATTTTTTGTATTACAAAATTAAGATTTTATTTATTAGGGGCAAAGTTTATAGTTGAGACAGATCATGAATCTTTAACAACAATTTTGAAAAATAGATTTGGAAATAGTAGGATACATAGATGGGGATTAATTTTGCAGGAATATGATTTTGACATTAAATATATACAGGGGAGAACAAATGTAGTGGCAGATGCGTTGACAAGAGAAGATCAAGGGAAAAATGATTTAAATAAAAAATTTGTTAAAATTGGGGTAAATGTCATGAAAGAGTTGGAGAGAATATTTTCATTGAAAGAAATAATACAAAATCAAAAGAATTTAACAGATAAGGAAAAAAGAGGGGGAGAAATTAAAGGTGAGGTTATAATAAAAATGAAGGGAGAACGGGAATTATTTATTATTACAAAGGAGTTATTGGGAGATATTTTGAGGAGTTTACATGAGGATAATGGACACATAGGGGCTAGGAAATTATGGTTATTATTTAGAGAAAATTATATAGGAAAGGGGGATTATAGAATAGCTAAGGAAATAACTAGAAAATGTCATATATGTCAGATAGGAAAGGAGAAAAATATAAATCATGTTAAAACAATCCATGCAAAAAGATGTGGTGAAATAGTAGCGATAGATTTTTTAAGTAATTTAATAAAGAGTAAGCAAGGACATTCTCATATATTAGTTATGGTGGATGTATTTTCAAAATATATTAAATTATATCCTACTAAGTCAATAAAATGTAGTGTAGTGAAGGAAAAGGTATTAGAGTATAGTAAAGATGTGTTAAAACCAGAAAATTTTATATTAGATAATGTAACATATTTTAATAATGAAAGATTTAAAAATTTTTGTAAAGAGCATCAAATTACTTTAAAAATGACTAGTATTAGACATCCATCGGCAAATCCATGTGAAAGATATATTAAAGAGGTAATAAGATTTTTAAGAATAATGGTTAAGAAAGATCATACTGAATGGGAGAATCATATAATAGGGATAGAGGCAATTTTAAACAATACTCCAAGTACAATAACAGAAGAATGTCCGACATTTTTAGTAAAAAAATTAGAACCCGAAAGAAAATGGGAAAATAAAATTAAAAGAAATTATGAACATATTTTTGAAAAGGTAAATAAGAGACTAGAGAGAAGAATTGAAAAATATATTAAAAAAATGAATAAAAGTATTAAAAGAAGAACAATATTTGAAAAGGGAGAATTAGTAGTAGTGCGAGCTTTGAGGTATACTAATAGAAAGAGAAACATATGTGCAAAATTAAGGTTATCATATGAAGGTCCATTTGAGATAGTTACTTCAAATGGTGTAAATAGTTATAAATTAAAATATATAGATGGAGAGGGAATAAGAGGAATTTTCCATGTAAATGATTTATATAAGTATTATGAATAATACAATTTGGGAAACGTTTGATATGAAAAATGAATGTTTATAAGTGAGCGAAGTTTCATTATATAGTTGTAGTTAAAAATTTTGGAACAGAGTTAATTTGTTAGAGTTTTAAAATTGAGTTAATTTGTTTCCATTAATTGGTTTATTGATGTTAAATATTTTGAATTGTTTTTGATAATTATTGGAATTTAGACAGATAGCAATGATTTGGATTGAGTAAGGAAGGAAAATTTGTTTTGGTTAAAAATTTGTTTTAACAATTTGGAAATTTCATATTTCAAAATTTATTATAGAAATAAATTTATGAAAAACGAAATTTGGGGGATTTTTGATATGATATTTTATTTCAAAATTAGAAGTTATATATATATTTTGGGTTTTCACATTTATAAAAATTGTAATTAATGTTTCATGGGTAAGGTCGGTTCTGAAAATTGGAATGAAAAGAAAATCAGGACATCGATTTGTCATGAGAATTTGAGGGTTGTCAAAAAAATTTTAAAGAGAATTGTCAGTTGGAAATTTTAAAAGTCAATGGGAAAAGTAAATGTTATACTGAAAGTAAGAAATAGATAAATGTTTAAGTTGAAGAGTTGTACATGTTAAAGATAAAATAAAAGAGGACTAAAAAAAGTAAAAGGTAAAGAAATTTTTATTAAAAAAAAAAATCAACGAAGTGAGAGCAGATTTGGCAGGAGGGTAGTTTGTAAAAAGCATAAGTAGAGACAATAGAGAGGAGTAGGAGCAGGTAAATACAAACAGACAGGAAGAGACAGGTGCAGACTAGGGACAGTTGGACACGGAGAATGGACAGAGACGATAGCACATAGACAGAGATTTTTAAGTGAAAGAAGAAAGAACATATTATTTAATATAATTGTTAAATTAATATTTTTTTAAAATTTTAGTTTCAAAATTCAATATTGTGAACCCATGGAACATTGAAATTGGTTAGATTAAGGTGTAGGTAAGAATTTTCTGTGTGCTGAAATCCAAATTGCTATCCTTGTTTGTGTGAACCCACGGACCCTGGGATTTTAAAATTATATTGGGAGAATAAAGGGTGAGTTAATTTTTTTTATATTACAAATTGATTTTCATAACATTATTTTTTTTTTAAATTCTATAACAAATAAGATTTTTCATATCACAAGATATATATGAATATGTTATTTTCTGGAAAACTTTAAGGACAAACAAAATTAGTGCTGTCATGCCTTATGTGATTTAATCAATATAACATAATTTTTTTTAACCACTTTGCACAAATTTGCAGCAGGCTCTTGGGCTATTATGATTTGATTATGTATGCGTCTGGGATACAAATCCGAGTGGCACAATGTATAAACTGGAACATTGAGATCAAAAGTGCCGAGGTAGAGTGAACGAACTGATTATTTAGATATAAAATGTGTTACAGACTTTAAATAAATCAAAGTACACTAATTCGTAATTTTGATTACACTTTTTTGTCACTTAAGTGCGTCCACCTGTCATATCGCAAGATAGTTTTTATCTCATCTCCACTTCATTCTATCTCGATGTGAAACATAATATTATGTAATAAACAGTCCCTTGATAAAAAAAATGTTAAAACAATTAAAATTGTTTCTTTAACGTACAATATTTTTCAGGTGAATTAGAACAGAGGTCCATTGCAACAGCAACATTTGTGACCCAAGTTGATGAGCTATTTGACAGTTTTAATGGTAGTGCAAAATTTCCACCTGATGGAAAGGAATTAAAGTGCTGTATAAAAAATGACTCTGCCCACATACCTTACTGGAAGAAAGCCTACGAGATGGTAGAAAACTGGAGATTTTTAAGAAGAAGAAAAAATGGTTTAATCAAAACAAGTAAACCACCATCCCAGATTGGTTGGCTTACCACCATTAATGGTATACAAGAATTGTGGAAGTTTTTACATGAGGAAAAAAAATTGAATCTCTCAGGCCTCGAACACTAAACCAAGATGCAATTGAAAATTTGTTTGGGGCAATAAGATCAGGTTTGGGATGCAATGATAACCCTACTACTACCCACTTTATTGGTAGTTGGAAAACAACAATTTTAAACGGTCTTATTAATTTAGGTTCAGGAAGAAATTGTGAGGATGATGATAGCATTCTCCTATCAAATCTTCATAGTTTTCTTGCGGAAGCCGATTCAATAGAAACTAAAGCCGAGAGTCCAACTGAAACTCCGGTGATTACAGTGAATGCTGAAAACATAGCAACTGAAATAGCTAATGACGTAGGTTTGGGAACTGTTAAAACTATGTCAGTTGCATATGTTGGAGGATTCATTGTAAAAAAAATTTTGGAAAATTATGATTGCAAAAAATGTCAACAAATATTATTGTCCACATCTAATGCTCCTCATAATTCATTTATTAGTTTTAAAGAGTGGTCTGACAAAACGGAAAAATTAATTTATCCTGCTGAAGAACCAGTGGTTTCATTGGAACTGCCAAATGTTTGCTGGAAGTTTTTTGTGATTCTCATGCCAATATTCCAAACCTGAGCCAGCATTTAGAAAAAATATTTTTAGAAAAAATAGATTTTGAATGGGTCACTTGTCCTGAACATAAGGAAGTGGTTGTAAAATCAATACTAAGGGGAGTATGGAAAATTGGCATTCCTTGGTGGTGTAAGAGGCAGATGAAGGAAATTAGAGATAGAAAAAAGGTTGCCACAACAAATAAATTAAAAATTATGAAACATTTAAAAAATACTTTTTTAGTTTAGTTTGTTAAATGTATTTTTAATTGTTTTAATAATACATATATTGAAATCATACTTTGTTTTTTCTGGTTTAGTGTGCTAGTAAATGTGAATTATTTATTCACATTTTCTGTGCATCAAATTGAAAAAAAAAAATAATTTTATTATATACAAAATATAGATAAGTGTATATACATATTTGAATTTTCCGGCATTCTTCTTTTTTAAACAAAATTATAAAAAGACTGTTTGCTTATAAAGAAAAAGGCCACTATTGATTATTGAAGCAAGGTAAACCAGCGCCATCGGCTTCATCTTCCAGTCCAATCGTCCAGTCAATTCTTGATGGAAATTAAAATTGCATTGAGTTATGCGTCTCTGTTGTCTCTGACACTACCTAATATAACCGCGCATCGCATAGGTATATACCATATAAATCAGCAAGTAGGGTGCCGCATGAACTTGTCTGTATTAGGACTAGACAAGAAATGCAGTGGCGTATTTACTAATAAGAAAAGAAGAAAATTTTGTTTTAATTCGCTGCAACAGTTTAGATAGTTAACTTATTCACCAACGGTTGATGGAGCCTATTGTAAATTCTGCGTTCTATTCACTCCAGCAAAAGCTGGAACAAACAGTCAACAGCTTGGGTTATTTGTAAAAAGACCATATTTATGAAATTTATTAAAGGACAGTAAGGTTCAATTGACATAATTATAAATTCGGAGAAAGAAAAGCAAATTCAGGCCAATAGGCAAAAGTTGATCCCTATAATTGAAGCAATCATTATTTTTGGTGGTCAAGAAATGCCTTTACGAGCCCATCGAGATAACGGACCAGTAAACAAATGTTACAAGGAGAGAGACAACGTAACAAATATATAAGTCCAGGAATTCAAAATGATATTATTGAAGCCTGCGGTAAAGCCATAATCGATGATATTCTGTAGAATAAATAAAGCTAAGGCGTTTTCAATACTAATTGACGAAACTGCTGATATTTTCGGTGTTGAACAGCTTTCTATTGGAGTGAAGTACTATGACTGTATAAAAAAAATTGTTCGGTAAAGACTTTTTAAAATTTGTACCTGTGACTGATTTAACTGGCCAGAGGTTAGCAACTACTATCGTTTCGTAACTAAAAATCCTTGGCATCGATATGCAGTACCTAAGAGGCCAAGGTTACGACGGAGCATCCTCGATGTCTGGCTATTTAAATGGTGCTCAAGCTGTTATTTCACAAACGTACAAGATGGCACCATATGTTCATTGTATGGGTCATTTAATTTAGTAGTAACAGATGCATGCGGCATACCCGCTGTTAGAAATGCTTTGGGTACAATTTAAGATATAAGGAATTTTTTATTTCACCAAAAAGAAGAGCTATTCTTAATGATCAGATAGATCAACTAGATACTTACGCTCAAGGGTTAAAACCACTTTGTCAAACAAGATGGATCGAGCGATTTCACGCTGTTGACGATTTCATAGAACTATTTAATCCCGTCCCAACAAACAGGTAACTGTCGGAACACTGATGGCCAGATGCTGTCAGTGACGGGAAACTGACGATGTTGGCTGACCGACGCCGGCCCAAAAGTTTTCCACCTAATACAGGCCAACACTGGCAAATGTTGGCCCAGCGCTGGTAGTCAGGGTTCTTCCCATCGTAATTTTACAATTGTGTTGGGCAAAAGCGGGCCGTTTGTGGTACGTGTGTGGACCTCCAAATAATTACATGCTTATATATTTGACGTTTTAAACATTAAAAATATTAGTTTTAGTTTTTAACAGGTTCAGCGCCAGACCAATTTCAGTAAAACTTCCCTGTGTGCCAACATGGTTTTTTGTCATTTTATTGTTCTTTAGGGGATTTGAAACACTACTCACCGATTTTAAAAATTTTTGGTTAACTAGTTTTTTTTACAAAGACAGCAGACACCGTTGTCTGCTCTGGCCCTACCAAAAGTACGAGTGCCACCGGTGTCTGCCTTGGCCTGGTGATACAGTAAATATCAGCAGACACTAGGTGGTACGCATCAAGGTCATTTGTGTTTACTACTAGTTTAGCGTGTTTTTGTTAGTCTTGCAGTGGATGCGAAAAACAAAACAATGAATAATCGGGGAAAACGTTTGGTGCAATTGGCGTTAGAAAAAGATCAATCTGATACAGATGGTAAGCTTCCGTTATTTTAATTTTTACTTGAAAATAAAATAGGTAATTTGCAGGCGATGATGAATATAAAGAAGATCCTTTTTATTGCTCTTCAGACGACGATCCAGTGTATATTCCTCAATATAGTTCTGACGATTTTGAGACTGACACAGAGTCAGATAACGATTACGTCGCTGTAAGTAAGAAGCCGAAGCTCGAAGTTTTACAAAATATATTACTATGTGAACCTGGCCCATCTGGCGCTTTTGTAGCTGACAAAATTAACCTTATAAGCAACAACAATATGAAAAAAAAAACAGTGTTGAAGAAGTAGAAGGCGATTTTCAGACGTTATTGATGGCAGTACCAAATAACAAACTGACAGAACCAGTTATAGAAAAAGTAACGGGTTTAAACCGTAATGATCCTGTTACCTTGGACCTTGACGTAGCACAGGAAGATCCGAGACACGTTGACGTATATGATATTTCTTCTTCTACTTGGGGCCCGCCACAGGGAAATCAACTGATATTTGAAGAAACATTTCATGGAGGAATTTCACCGGAATATTTTTCTATATTGAAAGAAGAAAAACCCACTCAATACTTTTTAGCTAAGTTAAATGAAGTTTTGAAGGTTTTGTATTAATTTATAATCGTTTAAAACAGAATTTCATATATTAATCGACATTGCAAATTTTAAATTTAGCGCCTATATTAAAAGTTTGTCAAACTTAAGTGTCTAAGCTGCATTTCACGTTAACGGAGAATCCCATTTCTGAACAATTACACACTAAAACTAAATTCCGATATTTGTTTTAATATGGCATATTTATTTCAAATTAATAAAAAATAATTATATAAGGTTTTTTTGGAATTTTGTTACCAAGCTATTAAATTATTGATTTCGGTTGCGCACACTGTGAAGGTGACGGCTCACGAGACATGTCATGAAATTTCTTCTCCTCCATTTTGTATTTTGTTTTCTGGGAGTTTTTGTTTCGTATTTTGTACTTGTCGGATCTCGGATACTCGGATCTCCTATTGTGCCCAGAATTAATTTTATTAATTTATCTATGCGTTTGTGGTTTCGTTTGGTGTTTGTGTTTGGCCAGGTCAGGTTTTTGGTTTGCATGGGAATCGGCGAACGTCCAATTCTTGTTTATTTAGTGAGTATTTTCTGGTCCCATTTTTGTTAACAGTGTTAATTAGGTATTTCTAAATTGATAGGTAGTCCAGAGCCCAGTACGTGCCAAGAATCAAGGTGCATAGTGCATGTAGTTTGTATATCATGTCGCAAGCCAATCCCATCAATTTTTAAATGATAAGTACAAAATGTTTATTCTCATTATTTCAGTTTTATCATTCGTTGAATATAAGTTAATAATGATTAGCATTTCTCTATTACCTAATATTTTGCAAAATTAATTAAAACACCTGATCATTTATCTACATAACCTATAAATGTTTTCCCTACACTGGTAAATGTTGTAATACCTATTTATTCACATCTTATATAATATGTCCGAATTAAAAAGAAATAATAAAGCTTACATGTACAGAAAAATTAAAAACCAAATTAATCAATGTCTGACTTTATCCGATCTTGATGTAATAAGTGATCATTCATCTAAAATAGTTACCAGGAGCCAAAGTTGTTTAAATGAAAGTTTAGTTACTTCAACTTCTGTATCGTCCATAAGAAACACAAGACGGGAATCTTTAGAGCATATGCAGCACAATGATTACTATAGTACACAAGACATTATTGATGTACAAGTGCCTAATAATGATGTTGAAAGAGAATTTGAGGTTGCTGAAGCCAACTTGATTCAATCTGATTTAGATGAAGATGGTTCTTGCGAAAATAACCTTAGTAATGTGGAGCCCGATTCTGATTTACCTGATGATTCTTCCTGAACCATTGGGCCATTCAACATATTACACATAATGCTTTATCTGATTTATTGGCATTTATAAACACTAAACCAAATTTATCTGCCAGGACACTGCTTAAAACACCTACAGTTGTCGAGTTAGAACAGCACTCAGGTGGTCACTTTTACTATTTCGGTTTAAGAAAAAATTTGGAGAGTTGTTGAATTAACACAAAGTGAAAAATTAGATTTGGACTTTGGGATAGATGGATGGTCCATTTATAAAAGTTCAAATGTGTCTTTTTGACTGTGTAAAATTCATAACGTATTTCCACCTCCAGTTTTTAAAGTTGCAATTTTTTGTAGAAAAAGTAAACCTCCTTTAGAACATTTTTTTACTAAATTTGTTGAAGAAATGAACATGTTGCAAGAAGATGGCCTTGAAATAATTAATAAAATTATTGAAATAAATATAAGGTCCTTTCTGTGTGACACTCCAGCAAGATCATTTATTAAATGTGTTACTGCTCATAATGGCTATTGGGGATGTGATAAATGTTTGGATATAATAAATTATTCAAATAGAAGAATGCGATTTTTAAATTTGGAAGCACCGCTTCGAACAAATGATCATTTTAGAAATAGGGTTAATGTTAAACATAATAAAGGATACAGTCCACTAGAAAGAATAAAAAATGTAGATATGATATACCATTTTCCACTTGATTATATGTATAGTGTATGCTAAGGAGTAATGCGTAAATTATTATTTTTATGGAGAGATGGCAGTAGACTTTATAGAATAAATGTAACAGAATTTGACAAACATATTAAATCTATTAAAAATTGGCCTGAAGAACAATTTTAGAATTAGAAAGATGGAAAGCGTCTGAGTTCAGACAATTTCTTACATATACTGGACCTGTTATTTTAAAAAATATGTTACCACCTCAAATTTATGCCAATTTCATGCTGTTAAAATTTGGTATAACAGTGTTATTGAGTAGTAGCCTAAATAATAATTATAATAAATATGCTAAATATTTTTGTAAAAAATGCGATCACTATTTATGGCCAAGATTTCTGTATATATAATACACATTCATTAATTCATTTGGCGAATGAAGCTGAAAAGTTTGGAAATTTAAATAATATAAGTTGCTTTCCATTTGAAAATCATCTCCAAATTATAAAAAATATGTTACGAAAACCAAATATGCCTCTTCAGCAAGTTGTAAGGAGAATATTAGAAAGGGAAAGTGATCTAAATATTCAGAGCAAAAAAAAACATTTGTGTTGTAGGCAGACCAATAAATCCAGCAAAAATTAAAAGTGAATTTCTGAAATATATAATCAAACACTGTACAGTAAATTATGTGTCGGGCATAAATATTTTACTTTATCTTCTGCCCCTGGAAACTGTGAAGTGATGATATCAGATGGACAAATTGTTTCTTGTTGTTACTTTTTAGACGATGAACAATTTACCATAATTGGAAAAAAATGTGATATCATAGGTCCTTTCACCAATTACCCTACTGACTCTTCAGTTTTAAAGTTACATGTGATTAACTTTAAAAATTAAATTTTAGAATTTAGTGCTAAGGATATAATATGTAAAGGAGTAATATTACCTTTCGAAGAGAACTTTGTGTTTGCTCCTCTAATTCATTTACTATAGTTATATCCAACTACAAAAAAAAAACTATGTTCTTAACTATAGTTTATCTTCGTTTTAGTTTAATTTTAAGGACTAATTTTAATTTGTTATTTTGAAGATGAACCGATGAACATAACAAAATTAAATGTATGTGGCCGAAAAACATAAAAAGGAACTCCAAACTTAAAAAAGCTATTATTAATAAAATAGACGCCCCAGAAGAATTCGAAATTTGCAACATTAATGTAAAATATAAAACCAGTAAGTAAATATTATTGACTGTCTATTTTTATAATGAATTACAAATTCTAATAATTATTAAATATTATTACATTTTAAAATAGGTTTCTTTTATTTTTAGATGATTATGAAAGAGCAGTACTTACATTAAAAAAATTAGAAACTAACTCAAGTATTTCATGTGCTACTTTGTAACGGTTGAAACCGTTTTCGTTATTTAGACCCAAACATTGTAACGGTCGGAACCGTTTTCGTTATTTTGACACCAACATCTCTACACAAATGTCATTTGTCGTTTATGCCTTATGTCAACAGTTGGATTATCATTTCGATTCGTCTCCGTCAACAAGCAAGTTGATTTATTGAATTTTTAATTATCTTTTATCTTGGACATCCAATGTACTAATTAATGTCTATTAATATTCTTAATGACCGTCTGATTTTATAAGGTAAGCTTTTATACCGATATATTGTTGAAAATATATATTTTGTACAAGAATTTCTAATTAAAAAGTTAAATTTGAAACATAACCTCAACATGAAAACACAAGAATCACAAAGAGATTGTTGGAATTTGAATCTAAAGGCCTGGATTCACTTTCCAACAGTACGACCTCAACGGAGTTTTAAAATCAAATTCACCCTCGTGGCTCCATCTACGGACCACGAGCCGAAATTGTTCTTCACTACAGAAACATATTGTAGAAACCTATGTGCCGCTCAGCTGCCTCTGCGCAACTTAAACTGGCAAGAGGGCGGATACCGCGATGACGTACGTCCTTCTTGTTGCATTGATCGAGCTCGCTTTTTCGAACTCAACGTGAGGAAGAAAAGTCGTTTATTTTGTTAGCCATGTTTAACAAAAGAATTAAAACAGTTTATTTCAATAGTCATGATGTAGTGACATAGTCACAATAGTGGCAGGCCCGTTGGCCAGTAGTTTAAGGGTGGGAAAATGGTGATCACTAATTACTCTGTGAGTGAATGTGAGTTTAATACACGAATGCCGGTCTCAGCATGATGGTGCCGCCATTACGGCGGGACCGTATCCGTGAATGTTTTTAAAACCCCATTAAAGTGGCAGTAAGTGGAACAGTTGTTTTATTAAAAAGGCTATCGAAGGACTCTTAGAACGTCGAAGCTAAATAAAAGGTCTCGACTCCCGATGTGGAGAATTTCATACGAAGAAAGTTGAAAAATTCCCCATAAGTGGTTCTTCTAGAAGCCGGATTTTAGAAATTGCAGTCCAATAAAGAAGAAAAAGCAGCTCTACTCGTGCAATAGAAACTTCAGTGGTGGATGTGAGGTAAAAGAAAGTGTACACTAACAGGTCAGTGAGTTTCATTAAATAAAAAAAAAATAAAAGACATTGTTCATATTATATCACATATGCAGTGATTTTAACCTTTATTCATGTATTTAAAACATAGAATGTGCACTCACGGCTACAGAGCTAGTTTTCTTTCTTTTCGAGATGTTTTCCTATATAAGAGCTCTGTGGTCTCAATAAAATAAATAAAATTTCTACACTGTAAAAAATAAATAAAATTTCTACACTGTAAAAAATAAATAAAATTTCTACACTGTAAAAAATAAATAAAATTTCTACACTGTAAAAAATAAATAAAATTTCTACACTGTAAAAAATAAATAAAATTTCTACACTATAAAAAAAAAATAAATAAAATTTCTTCACTATAAAAAAATAATTAAAATTTCGACACTACAAAATAAATTAAATTCTTTAAACAAAAAGAAAAAGTTATACATACGAATGCACATTCTAGTTTTGATAAAATTATAACATTTAATACGCTTGTTGTGTACAAGAAGTTCTCAAGTAGTTGCATATAAACGTACTATGGCAGACCT